TCTTAGATCTTCAATATGTCTTAGCTCTAAAATTCAGCTAATATTAAACGAATCACTATAACCCAAAAATATTCTCAAACAATTGTATTTTTTTTAATTTGAAAGCGCAACTTGTCTTAAGACATTTCAATTTATTTTTTCCCAAGGGGATCAGAGATACATTTTGGTTCAAAACACACAAGAATTTCAGATGAGTTTACAAATGCTTGCGTCTTAGGGGAAAAGCTATACTATCCTTTGTGTTTGACAGGATAAAACTGCAGTTCTGTGGTATAAATAGCTTAATGAAAATTAACCTCCTGAATATACAAGCACTATAACAACTTTTTGTAACATAAATACTTGTAATCTTTGGGAAAGTGCACACTATAAATAATTGATAAATACACATGTTGTTGAAACAACAGAGGCATTTAATAGTGTTATCATTCCTCTCTTAAGAATAATTACTTCAACATAACTAAGAGTGTTAATTAAGCAAATATCAAGCATTTATTGAGTAACTTATGTTCATACATTTATTCAACAAATATTTAATGACTAGTTCCTGTGTTCTAGATACTAATTCTGGATGCTGACATATGGGATAAATAAGGAGAGCATGGCCACCTGACCTCACAGAATCCAGTGGGGAAATAATAAAATAAATAATTTAACAAATAGATGAGAAAAAATAAACTTTTGTGGTATATGCAATAAATGAAATACACAGGGCACCACGTTAGGGAGGAAAAGAGAAGTATTGGTTGACTTAAGGTGATTCCTAGAGGACATGACATTAAAGCTGGGACAAGAAAGGGAAAATAGTCAAGGAACAAACAAAAAGCAGGGCGTGCCCAGGGTCAGAGAGTAGAAAGGCAGTGCTTACCATATTTGAAGAAATAAAAGAGCAGTGGATCAAGTATAAAGAGCAAAGAAAAGGTATAAAAACTTGCAGGTATTGTATGCATTGAATGGGTCTTCTAACTCACAACACTCTTTCTCTACAAAATTCCCTGGTTACTTGGCAATGTTATTGAAAACATGGTAAAATTTACTGCAGTGGGCACATGAATGTGTTCACCATGTACTGCATCACACATTTTTTATCCTTGCCTTTTAAATAACATATCTTACAGAAGCCCAGACTTTTTTTTCACTTAATAACTAGTGTTTTTAGTTGGCCAGAGCATTGATTAGAAGTTATGTGAAGTGATTTTTTGTTCTCACTCAGAGCAGAGAATACACTTGTGTATGTAACTGATCCAAGTCTCTGCAACATTGAACATTTGTCTTATTCAAAATTAATTTCCTGCTAATAACTGTGATTTTACTATATTTCCTCATTGAATATTAGTGCAAGTGATGAGATTCCTTCTAAATTGGTTTTTGAAAAGCCATAAAGGTTCTTGTTTTGTTTTGTTTATTAATTTGTTTGTTTTACTATAAGAGAGTTACTCTTGGCATGCCAATGAGTAGAGAACTACAGAGCAGGACTGACATGAAACATAGGGAGAAGGTCAAGCTCCTTCACTAATGAGCAGCAGGCTTTGCACACCACCAAAGTTTGAGGGATACTTAGTACTGTGTAAAATATGGAAATAAAGAATGGCATGTACCCACTGGGCATGTGCTATGGTTTTAATGTCCCCTCCAAAATTCATTGAAATTTAATTTCCAGTGTAACTATGATAAAAGGCAGGACCTTGAAGAGGTGATTAGGTCATGAGGAATCTTCCCTCATGAATGGGTTAATGCCATTATCACAGGAGTGAGTTGGTTATCACCAAAGTTTGGCCCTTTTTCTCTCTGTCTTGTGTGTTTGTTTGTTCTTCCACTATGTTATGACACAGCAAGAAGGCCCTCTCCAGATGCAACCCCTTAGTCTTGGAGCTCCCAGCCTCCAGAACCATGAGCCAAATAAACTTTTCTTTATAAATTACCCAGTCTGTAATATTCTTTCATAGTAGCAGAAAACAAAGACAGAGAAGTGGTATTGAGAGGTGGATCTGTTGTTCTAACAGATACCAGAAAATGCAGAAGTAGCTTTGGAACTGGGTAATGGGTAAAGGCTAAAAGAGTCTGGAGGAGCAGGCTAGAAAAACCCTAGATTACCATGAACAGAATGTTAAGGGTGATTCTGTTAAGGGCTTATAAGAGGAATCTGTAGAAAAGGTATGGAATGTCTTAGATATTAAGTGGTCGTGGCCAGAATGTTGATAGAAACATGGACAGTAAAGGCCATTCTCATGAGGTCTCAGACAGAAATGAAGAACCAGGTATTGGAAGCTGGATTAAAAGTCACCCTGTTATACAGTTGCAAAGAACTTGGCTGAATTGTGTTTGTGTACTAGGACTTTATGGAATGAAGAACTTAAGGGTCATTAACTAAGATGTCTGATGCAAGAAATATCTAAGCAGTAGAGCATTCAGGTTGCTGCATAGCTACTTCTAACCACATACATTGAGATGCTAGAGGAAAAAACTTAAAGGTGGAATTTATAATTAAAAGGTAAAAAACAGAAAGATTTGGAAAATTTGCAGGCTGCACATGTAAAGAGTAAAGAAGCATGTGAAAGAGAGAATACTACAGGTGTGCCCCAGTGACCATTTGCTAAAGAGTTTACCACAGATAGTGATTCAGGTGCTATTCATCAAGTGAACAGGAGAAAGACCTCAAAGGCATTTCAGAGGCCTTCAAGTCTGCCTGTCCCATCACAGGCCCTGAGCTCTAGAAAAAATAGAATAGTTTCAGGGAATGGACTCAAGGTACCTTCCATGGAATTGCTGCTCAGAGCCACATTGGGTCTCTGCTTCCTGTGTTCCACCACAGTGTATGCCTCAACCAACCCCACCTATAGCCTAAGTTGGTTCCTGTGCAGTGTGCATGCAGTAAGCCTTGACAGTGTCCACATGTTAGAAGTATCCAGGTTCATAGAATACAAGAGCTGTGGGAGTATGGCTCCCTTCACCTAGATTTCAAAGGATGTATCAAATAACCTGAGAGCCCCAGCAGAATCCTGCCACAGGTGGAGCCTCCACAGAGAGTGCTCACTAGGGCAAAGCCTAGTGGATCCATGGGATTGGGGCTGCCACTGAGACCCCAGAGCTATAGGGTCACCAGTGGAAACTCTGGCCTGGGAAGGTCGTAGGCATGAGACTCCAACCCAAGAGAACTGAAGCATGGGCTGAGCCCAGCAAAGACATGGGGTCGAGGCCACCTGAGGCTTTGGAGACCCAAATTCCCCAGTGTCCAGAAGGTGGCAAATGGAGTAAATGATTATTGTGGAAGTCTGAGGTTTAACATTGTTTTCCCTATTAGATTTTGGACCAACTTAGGGCCTCTTGCTTCTTTCTTTTTGCCTATCTCTCCCTTTTGTCATGGGAGTGTCTATTGTATGCAGGCACCATTGTCATATTTTGGAAGTAGATATCTTTTTTTTATTTATTTCACAGGCTTACAGCTGGAGAGGAATTTGCCTCAGGATGAATCGCACCTTGAGTCTCACCCATATCCGATTCAGATGACATTCTGGACTTTGGAGTTTTGAGTTTGTGCTAAAATAAGTGAAGACTTTTGGAGCCACCGAGATGGAATAAATGTATTTTTATATATAAGAAGGACATGAGTTTTGTGAGGCAAAGAGGCAGAATGCTACAGTTTCAATGTTTGCTTCCTCTAAAACTCATATTGAAATTTAATTGTCACTGTGATGGTATTAAGAGGAGGGACTATTAAGAAGTGATTAGGTCATGAGGGCTCTTCCCTCATGAATACAATAATACCATTATCATGGAAGTGGATTAGTGATTGAGGGATTTCAGCCCCCTTTTTCTCCCTGCCTGTATGCTCATTTGTCCTTCCATCATGTTAGGATGCAACCCCTTGATCTTGGACTTCCCAGCCTCCAGAACGATGAGCCAAATAAACTTTTTTTAAAAAATTAATTACCTAGTCTGTGGTATTCTGTTACATCAGCAGAAAATTGACTAAGATGGTATGTTGGATTTGTTATGAAAGGTTAGGCGAGCAGATGGAATTGACTGACCTAAGAGGAAACTGAAACTTCAGGACTCAGTAATTACCAGAGCTGTGGGAGACCTCTATGTTAGGCTGAGATGTCTCAACTGAACGCAGGAGGCTTTGAGGCTCCTGACCTGGGGTTTAATAAGAATTTCAATGGTTTCAAAAGATACTACCATTGTATAAATTTGGTCAGAGCTAAAGACTGGAATGGTGTTCTTTTCTTCAAGAGAACAAATTTTTAGCAGTGTGCTTGATTAATCTACAAATGAACATATTTGTATAAAAATATTCATTATCACCTTAACATTGTTTTAAAAAGAAAGTTGTAGCACTCACTCCAGCTGAGATAAAAGCCCTTGTAGTTTGTTTCTTCAGCCTCCAACCTAACCATATCCAATCATGACCTCCCACCATTGAAATTATCAAACACCAATGTTTCTGAGTCAAACAGGCAGTTGTTTAAAATATCTTTATTCCCGTTTACCAATAATACACAAAAACCATGAAAATTGTCAGTGATCATATTTGTGACCTAATCTTTCCAAAATTTGGTTCTTACCCAAGTTTATTAAAGTTCCTAACTGTAATGTGTTCACTGGCTTTGGAAGGTCTTGGATGGATAATTTGTTGGCATAAAGCTCCTTTAGCCAACAAAAAAAAAGAAACCCTTTTTTGGGTGTATGGAATTTTTTACAATTACTGAGTAATTAAATTTGAATGCAAAATATTGGAAAACTGTTTTGTTTTTATTTGTATCCAATTTAGACCTTGCACCAAGAGAATTGTGTATATTCAAATGTTTTCAGATGCACAACCTATTGAAAGCAATAATTTATTGCACTTAAGACACGTTCATATGTGAGTTTTATATAAAGGTTGAAAGTGCTTTTCATGAAGGTAAAGAATTATTTTAATTTAAAGTAAACGTGCACACAAAAAGGCAAAAATAGTCAATCAACACCATAAGCCATTGTTATTTTTTCTTATAACTTACAGATATTGCAAATTTTCAAGTCCTTCAAAAGCACTTCTGGAAATCTTTCTGATGTGATTGTTGTTCAGCAGACTGAAAAAACAAAAACAAACAAATAATTCCCAAATGAGAAACAGATTCTGCAAACATCAAAATAGTTCTGCTAAGTATAGTTCTTTGCACAACAGAAAAATATTTACTGACATGGTTCACTAAATTTGGAAATTTATACTTTAATTCCCGATTCAAAAAAGTGATATAAAACATTAATTTGTCACAAAGACTTTTCAAATATAATCTGTGTTTATTAAATTACCCTAAAACATTCCTAAAACAACATTGCAACCCAGAGATAAAATTCTTGTTTTCCTGAAGCATGTCATCTAAAAGGAAAATTATCAACATAGCCACGGTAACAAAGGAACATATTCCTAAACAAACAGATGGAGAGTATTGAACACTCAGGCTTAAGCATCTTCCTTGGAAAAATAAATGTCACAGCTATTGGCACACAGTGGACTTTCATTGTGTATTTGTTAAACTGTCAAACCAAGAGTCAATTACACCATAGGAAGTGAGGCTCTTATTATAGTAGTATCCAACGGTCCAAAAATGATTTCTAAAAACTCCAGGGAGAAAAATAACAGGTGGCAGAAATAAATCGAATTTGAACAGTAAAACAAGTTACAGAAAATCAACTTTCAGTAACTTCAAAAACTTCAGAAAAAGCACTCTGGCAAATGAAAATTATAATTTTTTTTTCTGGTTAAAAACACTTAAAGTTTCTTTCAAATTTAAATTATTATGGCATGTCTAAATATAGAGGGAAAGTCTGCTAATTAGATTGGCACACATGTTCCTGAATATTCTATACTGTCTAAAACCCTCAAAGCTTCTAAAAATCTTCTGCGAAAGTCCAATGCTGGAGGATTCACTTTTAGTATATTATAAAATATTTGTTTTGTGGGGTTTTTGTATGAATGATTAGGAAAACAGAAGTGTTTTGGCCATTGGAGCAGATGATTATTTGAGTTATTATGCACAATTTCACAGGCAGCCTAGAGATTCCGAAGCTCATCTGTTCCTAACTGATTCACTGTAGGTCTCGCTGGTAAATTCCCCAAACAGCATCTGAAGTGGCTGACACCTCACCTGTGGCACCAGAGCCATTTCTCACCATTTGTGACTGCCTAGTGTCCTGGCCATTGGGAGGCAGAACAACCAATCTACAGCCTGCATTGGAGCTGATGCCATACAGAGATAATGCCAATTTTCATGGATAATTCTAAGCTTCAGTCAATGAGCCATTCAACTTTATAGTCCACCATGTGTTCAAGGAATTTTTAAACAGGCTGAAAGCAATATAACTAGTTAATGTGTAATTAATACCAGACACAAACCTTGTCCTGGGAGAATTTGCTGTTTAGGTACTCTCTCATTCTATTGTTCAAAATTAATTAATGCACTTCTGTTAGGTCCCCAAACCACCACCATGCAAATATATTTACTTGAAGAAATGACTATTCTGTCCCTCTTAGTCTATTAAATACAACATGCACCAATGCATGTAGAATAAACTATACATGTGTGTATACATACATATGTGCATGTGTGTATGTAATTTGCACATCTGCTATGATGCGTGTATATGTGTGGTATGTGACACATGTATATAGTCTCAACCTCATATTAATCACAGATCACAAAAAACAATTTGAGTGACTATTTTCTTAAATCTTCCAACGATGGTGCCTAGGAGAGAGAAATTGACTCATTTCATACAAAAGATGTCTTTGGGCATTAGTGTTAATTATCTTTCAAAGCCACAGTTAAAAAATGGAAAAGATATTACATACCATAATTAGTCTTTCTTCAGTACATTAAATGTGCTTGAAGCCTATGTTTCTGCATATTCTTTCATAGTTATTTAAATTTTAACAAAAATAAAACACAAGATTTCAAAAACTTACACTGAAGTTATGATGTGCATAACCTACAGTATGAGATCAAACAATTTAACTTGTTTTCTTGAAAATGTTTCTATTGCTGACAAGAAACCAATTCATTAAAATGGTTCACAGTTGAATGTATTTTCCAATCACAAGTACATATTTCTTGTCAAGTTTTATTCAGAGCATTATGGTTTCCATCAAAATATCTTTACTATAATTTTAATGGTTGGAACCCTACCCAAGTAATGTTTTGGTTAAGTGGTTATAGAAACTGTCATTTATATTATTTTGTTTTGTTATTCATAAAGAAAATGCATTCAGAATTTATGAGTGGGTCTGCTAAAATTCAGGGCATAAAACAATACCTAACTTTCTTTCATCAAAAATCAGCACAAGCTTAGGGAAATTTGTGGCTGTATCCTATATCCTCATGACGCCCATGATGCCAAAGGAACAAAACAAAACAAAACGAAACAAAAAAGAAGCAAACAAAACCTGCACGAAGAAAAAGTAAAAATGTTACAGGTTTTATTGAGAAAATAAAACAATTTCTGAAAACAGGAGATCTGAACATGCTGATGATCAAACTTTTGGGGTAAAAGAGGAACCAGTAATAGACCAATGGTCCAGTTTATTAGCTGTATCTGTTTTTGCTGAAACACAAAGTCTTACCCAAAGTATGCCCACATACACTTGCATATTTACTATTATAGAAACGTATACTGTGTGGTTGGAAATATTTTATTAAAAACCAGTAAGTGACTGCTAGAAAAGATTAAGGCAATTTGCATAATCAGCAATTCATCAAAGTGTAAAATAAAAAATAAAAATAATAAAATTTATAAAGAAAAATAGAACTCTCTCCCATCTCACATGAAATTTCTGCTGGGATAATGCCAAGATTTACTCCACAAGTGAATCATTATCTCTACATAGAAATAAAAATAATATACTTTTTGTAAGTGGTAATAATGTTGGTCTGTTCCTGCTTGTTATGGTTATGCTTATTTTCATTTGGATACTCCAGAAATATGGTTCTGCTACTCTTAACATGAAAGGGTTGTGAACTTCATTTCTGTGCATACCAAAGTAAACATAGTATGAAATCTTCAATGAGCATAAATCATTATTCTGGAGTGATCTGCATAGTCACCAAGCAAGAGATTCATGGCAAAAGTCACTTATAGCTACCTTTGATTATCTGTCACAGCCACAGAAAAATATTTATATAATCATAAACAATGCATAAATCATTTGCAATTCAAAACCATAAGAAAAAAAAAAGAGGAAAAGGAGAAAGGAGAGGAAAAGGAGAAAGGAAAGGAAAAGAAATCAGGCTGATTTAAAGAACACAAATTTATTATTTTTTCAAACTTTTATTTTAGATTCAGGGGGCACATGTGCAGATACGTTACCTGGGTATATTGCATGCTTCTGAGGTTTCAGGTATGGATAATCCCATCACCTGGTACTGAGAATAGTACCAAATAGTTTTCCAGCCCTTGCCACCCTCCCTTCCTGTCTACTCTAGTAGTCCCCAGTGTCTATTGTTGCCCTTATTATGTCCATGAGTATCCAATATTTAGCTCCCACTTAAAAGTGAAAACACGTAGTATTTGCTTTTTTGTTTTTTTGGTTTTTTTTTTGGTTCCCGCATTAATTCACTTAGGATAATGACTTCCAGATGCATCCATGTTGTTGCAAGGAACATGATTTCATTCTTATGGCTGTGTAGTATTCCACAGTGTACATGTACCACACTTATCCAGTCCACCACTGATGGACACCTATGTTGATTCCATGATTTTGCTATGATGTAGACTGCTGTGATTAACATATGAGCATATGTGTCTTTTTGGTAGAATGATTTGTTTTCTTTTTTATATATACCCAGTAATAGGATTGCTGGGTCAAATGGTAGTTCTGTTTTAAATTCTTTGAGCAATCTCCAACCTGCTTTCCACAACAGCTGAACTAATTTACTTTCCCATCAACACTATAAAAGCATTCCCTTTTCTCCACAGCCTCACCCACAACTGTTGCTTTTTTTACTTTTTAATAATAGCCATTCTGACTATTATTATAGAGATAGTATCTTATTGTGGTTTTGATTTGCTTTTATTTGATGACTCGTGATGATGAGCATTTTATCGTACGTTTGTAGGCTACATGTATGCCTTCTTTTCAGATGTCTCTGTTCATGTCCTTTGCCTATTTTTGTTGAGGTTATTTGTTTTTTGCTTGTTCAATGGTTTAAGTTTCTTAAAGATTCTAGATAGTAGACCTTCATCAGATGCAGAGTTTGCAGATATTTCCTTCCATTCTGTAGGTTGTCTGTTTACTGTGTTTTTAGTTCTTTTGCTGTGCAGAAGCTCTTTATTTTTATTAGGTCCCACTTGCCGATTTTTGTTTTCTTTGCATTTTCTTTTGAGGGTTTAGTCAAAAATGTTCTCCCAATGCCCATGCCCAGATGGTATTTTGTAAATTTTCTTCTAGAATTCTTAGAGTCTGAAGTCTTAGATTTAAATATTTAATCCATTTTGAGTTAATGTTTGTACACAGTGGAAGGTAGGGGTCAAGTTTCATTGTTCTACATATGGCTAGCCAGCGATTCTAGCACCATTTATTAAATAGGGAGTTTTTCCCCCATTGCTTATTTATGTCGACTTCATCAAAGATCAAATGATTGTAGGTGTGTGGCCTTATTTCAGGGCTCTGTATTCTGTTCCAGTGGTCTATGTGTCTGTTTTTGTAACAGTACAATGCTGTTTTGGTAACTGTAGCCTTCTAATATAGTTTGAAGTTGGGTAATGTGATGCCTCTGACTTTGTACTTTATAAAGATTGCTTTGGTTATTGGGGCTATTTGGGGTTTCATATACATTTTACAATAGTTTTTTCCAATTCTATGAAAAACTACACTGGTAGTTCGCTAGGAATAGCATTGACTCTATCGATCACTTAGAACAGAATGTCCATTTTAACGGATATTGATTCTTCCAATCCATGAGTATGGAATATTTTTCCATTTCTTTGTGCCATCTATGATTTCTTTTAGCAGTTTTTTGTTTCATTTTCCTTGTAGAGGTCTTTCACTTCCTCTGTGAGATATATCTCTAAGTATTTGTGTGTGTGTGTGTGT